CTGGTCAAAAGAAAGGTACTTTACCTCTTTTAGAGTGATTTTTCGGATCTAACACCCTCCCTCTCTTGTATGTGCCCCTGCCCCTATTGATTAGTGATTTCTTATGTTTTTAATTTCATAATTTCTTCAGGTATGATGAAATTGGGTCAAAGATGGTGCCATTCCTTAAAGCATCAGGCTACAATGTGAAAAAAGGTACGTCCGTACGTGATAATTATTTCTTCAGAAACTTATAGATATGTTATTTTATGGTTTTGGTATTTGGGAAGTCATATCTTTCTTTCTATTTTTCTCTTTGTTTGGGTTAATGCCGTTGACTTAGTAATTATGCTGGATTTCTAATTTAAGTTGTAACTTATACTGTGGGGAATAGGCCACAATCATTTTACTATTCTCAAACTATGATGACCCTATGTTCAATAGAAGGATTGAAAAAGGGGACTAACAGGCATGTTCTCCTTTGTTTGATATTATGAGGAAAATTGGGGAAGAGTTGAGGAATAGGCAACTCCTGTGGCCTGCAAAAACTTGCTCATATTTATGAGATTGGAGAAAACAAAAATGGAAACTTTTATTTCAATGAAAATATGTATGCTCGAGTCAGTACATTAAATTATGGTGTAGTTGATCATGATTTTATGCTATTGTTTCTCTTATTTGTGCTTGTGATACCTTTCTGTCACAGAAGTAAATGTTATGTTAGTGGATTTCTTCTTTCATTTTGATTCTATTTCTTTTCTATCTGAACAGATAGTAATGGTAGTTTGAGGCACTGGTTTGTATTATGTGTGTTGACATAGGATGTTATTGATTTGCACTTTGCCTCTGCAGATGTGCAATTTCTGCCTATGTCTGGCCTGATTGGTTCAAATATAAAAACCAGAGTGGATAAAAGTGTATGTTCGTGGTGGGATGGTCCCTGCCTTTTCGAAGTCCTTGATTCTATTGAAATTCCTCTACGAGATCCTAAAGGTTCATTCAGGTACGTGGTCTGTTTATTAACCTTGCCTTCAAACGTCTTAAGTAAGCATCTGTATTTGAATCTATCATTTTTATTTGAAGAAGTCTGATTGATGTACATATACTTTTTTTTACTAATCGAGGAGACATTTTCTATTATATTTGCAAATTTTTCTTCCCTTGAAAGTTTTCAACAGTTACTTCTTAATGCACTGAGGTAGGAAGCATTATATTGTCAGTTTGAAGTGTGAGGAGTGGCTTGTACTCTAATTTCTTTACAATATCTTTGTTTGGAAATGGTATTACGGTCATTGGCAATGGCACCTAATGAAAATATACGGAGGGTGGAGGATGAGGTGGGGGATCAATGGCTCCCTAGTGATTTAGTAAACTGTGACACGAATTGGTGATTTATGGTTAATGTATTATCTCTAATTTTCTTTAATCCTCTGAATTCCTTTCTGTAGGATGCCTATCATAGACAGATTCAAGGACATGGGAACAGTTGTTATGGGCAAAGTGGAATCTGGGTCAGTGCGTGAAGGGGATTCGTTGGTTATCATGCCAAATAAGGTTCCTTCTGGTTCCTTTTAAATATTATTTCCTCTATAATTTTACCTGTTTTCTATAAAGATTTTATACTAAAAATACAATTCAACACATTCTTTTGCAGGTTCCAGTGAAGGCTGTTGCTCTATACATTGATGATGATAGGGTGAAACGTGCGGGCCCAGGTGAAAATCTACGGGTTAGATTATCAGGCATTGAGGATGAAGATATATTGTCAGGCTTTGTCTTGTCGAGTGTTGGTAAGTTCTATTTCACGGCATTTCACCAGATTCTTTGTCCATTCTGAGTTTTCTAGTATTTTATTCCTTAAAAGTAAAAAATTGCATTACTGCTGCATATTCGTTTTTTCCCTTTAAGGTTTGAGCACGTATCTTTATTTGTTTATAGAAATTCTCACTATTTATCTTACTTATTTATCAGTTGGGAGGTGGGGGATTCGAACTTGGAATGTCTAGCGACATTGGAATCCAAAGCATCACTAAAGAATAGCTAGTTGGCTTTTATTTGTTTTTAACTGAAGAGATGTAAGAAAAATGGAGAAGGGAAAGAGATGATATAGAGAGAAGTGAGGATAAGAGGAGGGAAGACGTGTAGAATTAAAATAAAGAAAATTGAAAACTATTTGAAACTGTTTTTGGTTAGTTTTAGTTTCATAAAATCAGTTATTGTATTATTTTCTTTCTTTCCCGCCCTCCCTCCTCTCTTCTCCCCTTTATTTTGTCCCCAATGTTTACTTCGTATATGTTTGCTCTTAATATACTTTTTTTTTTTTGTTAATGCAGCAAATCCAATACCTGCTGTAACAGAATTTTTCGCCCAGTTGCAGATCCTTGAACTGCTGGACAATGTTTGAATCTCTCTCTCTCTCTCTCTCTCTCTCTCTCTCTCACTCACTTTCTCCTCTCTCCGTCTTACAATCTTGGTTGATGAACATGTGTATGTATTTATCTGGAGCCCTCCATATCCTTCTCTTCAGGCAATCTTGACGGCTGGCTATAAAGCTGTCCTGCATATTCACTCGGTTGTTGAAGAATGTGAGATTATTGAGCTTGTAAGTCAAATGGATCCGAAGACGAAGAAACCTATGAAAAAGCATATTCGTTTTGTCAAGAATGGTGCCGTTGTTGTGTGCAAGATTCAGGTTTGTATCATTATACTTTTGTTATCAACCCCCTTCAAAAAGAGGAGAGGTAGTGAATTTTAAACATTGTTGTCGCACCTGGTTCACTTACCCTGTGCTCATGTGCTCCTGCAGGTCGGTAACATGATATGCATTGAGAAGTTTGCAGACTTTCCACAACTTGGGAGGTTTACTCTTCGTACTGAGGGTACTATATACCTTGCCTTCGCCATTCTGTTCATACATCCAGGATGTTTTTGGCATGTTGTAGTAAAGGTTATTTCTACGTTCTGCAGGAAAAACTATTGCGGTTGGAAAAGTGATTGATCAACCAACAAATTACCGCAACAGATCAAGTGCTTAAACAATTTTGGTCTTGAGGGTAAGGGTTTTCGAATGCTATTTTCCTACATACTTTCTCTCTGTTTCCTCTTCTGCGTATTGGTTAGTTGCTGATGTTTACTCGGCTCTAAATTTTAAAATTTTGTTCGCATCTAACTACCTAAATAGTGTAAGGTGCCTATATATTAAAGGTCTTTACTATGAGTTGCGTTTGCGTTTGCATTTGCATTTGCATCCAACGCTTACTCAATACTTCTGTATTTTGGATTTTCCGATCCCATGATAACCCAATTCTTGTTGATTGGCAGAGCTGGGTCAGTAGGACGGACTGCGTGGCAGCTTGATGCGTTTGAAGTCAGCGCAGCATCACCTACAAAGCAAAATGAATGGACTCTGATAGCGGGTTAATATAGTTCGTAGATTTACGCAGTCGTATAGTGCTGCTGGATGCTCATGTACTCTGGAGTGAGCTTTTGCAGGGTACGGCGACATTTTTCATATTTTAAGAGTGTAAAGTAGTAGTATTGAATCGAGCCACCCATTACCGGGTTAATAGATCGATTAAAATTCTGATTGATCGGTTCGTTTTGTTGATGTTTCTTATGATTGGTGGATTTTGTTTTTTCCTTCTTTGTACCAACTCCGTAAGTTCAGTCTATTTCGTTCTGGTTTAAATGGATGCGAGAAACAAATCGTTTTTTTCCGACAGGTATATTCGGAGAGCGGTCTCTTATGGTACGGAACATTGCTGGATTCCGACGGAGAAGTGAATTAATTTAAGCTATTTTTTGTATGTATTTTTGACCTCACCCGATGCAGTGTGAGAGTTGTCATAACCAGGTAACTCTGCGCAAGTTTTCCTCTAATTATTTTCAGAGTAGTTTGGGATGGTGAATCCACTCTCTCATTTGTTCTTGTGGGTTGTGAGAGGCTAACAGACGCACCCGGGCCGTGGATCTTTGGAAATCTTGTTGAATGAACAAAGAACATAAAATGGTGTGCTATAGTTTATGCCTGTCCTGTAGCTTTTCTTATTTTGTTCTAAGTTTCCTGATGTTGGAGGTGGTCTTGGGAGTTGGAATCCATAATAAACACGATTTAAGAATCTTCGGAATCTTCACAATGAGGATCCGGAAAAGATCTTTATTCTCATGATAATAGATTTGTCGTAAGTCAACAACATTTTTTTAATGTTACCATATCATATGTTGATATTTCAATCTTATGATTGTCGATGTGATCGATATGTTCATAACTTTGATTTCCAAATTTTTTATAAATTTAATTTTTTAAGAACATGTGTACCTGTAACACAAGTGGTACACCACATGTTATTATGTAAGTTGTGGAAAATTTTATTTTTTATGTGAATTTTTTAACACAAGAATCTTACCGCTTATATAGAGAAACGTGGTGTACTATCCTATATTCCAGGCATATTGAAAAATTTCTCATAATCTTAGACTACTATTGGAAAACAACCACAAAAATAAAACTGGGAAATGTAATTCAATTTGAAGTCTTTTTCTTATTCTATAAAAAAAAAAAAAAAAAAGAAAAGAAAAGAAAATCTCTTGATGATGGCTGACAATGGGAGGAAAAAGAGTGGAAGAGGGTATGCGCGCCCATCAAGTTGGGTTTTTTATGTTTCTTTTTTTATTCTTTTGTCTTTATCATTAAATAAATTTAATAGATAATTGTTTTATTTAAATACAAAGATTTGAAGTCACTTTTCATTAGTTTTTCTACAAAGGATAATACAAATATATAGTAAAAATAGAATTTTGTGTACCCAAAAAAAAAAAAAAAGCATTTTTGTTAACAAGGTCTTCTTTCCATTCATTGACTTTTTTTATGTTTTATTTTTTTGGCCAAGTGATAAATTTTGTTAAATTAGATGTTAAATTACTTACTAACAGAGTTCGAACCTACTCTATCATGCAAAAACTCAACACATTTTCACCGCTGTAATAAAAGACTACTTGCCGTTCATTAACCATTAACTAGTATGGAAGCAGCAGGCAACGTATACAATTGCAATATTGAGCCCGACGTTACAACATGTCATTTCCCCATGCACCTTCCCCAAAACAGACAGACCTAGAGAGAGCGGTCGAGGAGATGCCCCCAACGGCGGCTAAGCTAACAACTCCACATGCACCTTAATTTACTATTTGGCATGTTTGAATAATGTATTTTAACAAACTATATATATAGATACTAGATCGCATCTCCACTCCACCAATACTAATACTGTTTAAACTATTAATGATATTCTTATAACTACCACTGCAACGCCCTCCAAAGATGACATGCTTGACTCTAATTAACTAGTAGTTAATAAATAGAATGAGATTGCAATTTGTTGTTTCCCTAAAGCATATACATGTAAGCAGTTGCTAGATAATTTCTTGAAATTTTCAGACAGAAATGGATCAAGAATCGTTTCCTATGACAGGAGGAGACGGCCAATACAGCTACGGGAAAAATTCCGGTTCATCCCCAAAAAAAACCTGATACTGATCACTTCTCTTTATAGCTCCCCTAATGAGTTAATTAATCAGGCTTTAATTGTTAATTTACTGAGCAGCGGAAGGCAGCTGATACGGCCAAGGGAATGCTTTTTGAGGCCATACTTGAAAACCTACAAATCGAAAATCATCTGTCTCAAGGAAATGCTGTTTCAAACTTGTCATTTTCGATTGCTGATCTAGGTTGTTCTGTTGGTCCCAACACTTTCATCGCAGTCAAAAACATTATAGACACCGTGACACAAAAATTCCAGATCGAAGGCCAATCCTCTTCGCTCCCCGAATTCCATGTCTACTTCAACGATCATGTTTCGAACGATTTCAACACTCTTTTCGCCAATCTTTCCCCAGATAGGCAATACTTCTCAGTGGGAGTTCCAGGGTCATTTTACGGAAGATTGTTCCCCAAGGCATCCCTTAATTTTGTTTACTCTGCCTACTCAGTCATTTGGCTTTCTAAGGCACCTGAAGCTGTAGGGGATTTGGACTCACCTATATGCAATAGGGGAAGGATTTGTTATTCCAATGCGCCTATTGAAGTTGGTCACGCATATTCGCTTCAGTATGCGAAAGACATCAAGTGTTTTCTTGATGCTCGAGCGGAAGAGCTAGCTCCCGGAGGTTTAATGGTGCTTCTTATTTCCGGGCGTCCGGATGGGACACTTCCAGCAGAATGTTCTTGTGGCCCGATTTACGAACCGGTTGAAGCTTGCCTCATAGATATGGCCAATGAGGTAATCAACAAAATTTGGACACACATATATGGACAAATGTTAGCCAGAAGCTCAAGAGAAACTTACCTACAATGGTGATGCTATTGTATCGTTGTTTCAAGCCACTCATGCACTGTAATGTGTTTTCGCTTCTCATGTGACAAGTGCATGATTGACGTGAAAAACTGCTACAGTGACATCCTCATATAAGTAGAATGAGGATCCTCTTTGTGAGGATCTAGAGGATCCTTTAATTGTATTCGTTCATCGTAAATCGTGCGATTAGTTTTCTTTAGGTATTATTTGTGTTCAATTTTAAAGAAAAAATTTAAAATAATTTCTGAACGCACGATGTATGATGAATGGACACGACTAAAGAATTTCTGAGATCATTACAAAGAGAATCTGGAGAGGATCCTCACAAAGATGATCCAAACCCTTATCTACTGCAGCGTTAGTCTTTTGATAAATCTGTTGAAGACTAATGTTGCAGTAGATTAGGCTGCAAGTTTGCAATATTGAAGATTCAGGGAAACTTATCATATGCTTCCCTGTTTTTATGAAATTAATTTTGGGAGTCAAATATGATACTATAGCACTGGAAATTTATGTTAAACGCACATATAATTCATTTTTTGATGAATCTTGTGAGTTAAAGTTGAATAAAACTGATCATACTTAATGACGTTTTCTTGAAATGTCTGTCCGTTTAAAATGAATAGACGTCTTGCAGAGAGAACCTCTCATACATTTAATGGGTAACCTTTGTCGGCACTGCAGGGATTAATAAGCAAAGATAAACTAGACTCTTTCAACTATCCAACATACAGCCCATCAATGGAGGAGCTGAGGGAGCTAATACACAAAAATGGGTGTTTTGAAATTGCGAGACTGGAAGAGCAACCTCGGATGCCTATCCCTTTGAGTAAAACCGCAGAGGTTAGAGCTGGCATGGAGAGTCTCCTCACAAAGCACTTCGGCACTGACATTATGGAGCCGCTTTGCGTTCGCTACTCGAAGAAAATCGAAGCACGCCCACGTCCGTTCCTCACTACTGCCGACGACGGCTTGGCTGTTGGATTATTTGTCCTTCTCAAGCGTAAACACTGATGATAATACTAGAATGTATGTGCTTCATCGTAATGAAATGATACAACTTAGTACTAGTTTTGTATTGCTGTACTTTTTTAAAAAGCTATTTACGCTTTGCTGTGAGAATATTCAGTTGTAAAATAAAGTTGTTGAGTGTTTGGTAAATTTTTATATAAAACCGTTGTAAATATGTTAAATGACTAAAAAAAAAATGGTATTGAATGTGAGAAAAAAATTGTCAAAGAGAATAATGTAGGAGCAAAGATTGTAATCATGTAAAATATGTAGAGATATACTTGTCATTTCAAAATTTCATTAAATTGGCATTGTTCACTATGACTTGAAAAAAACACACTTTTTTAGAAGCATGGTTTTACTATTATTGAAGCAATTTAAAAAAAAAACACTTTTTTTTGTTTGTTTTACCAAAGACATTTGATGTTTCAAATTTTTTAAAGTGGAGTTATTTTTAGAAGCATCACAACCTCAAACCAGCCATTAAAGCAGACTTCTTTATATTAATACTAATATATGACACGCCCCCACTCCAATGTCCCTAGGATATCGGGGTCGGGGAACTTTGCCATGTGGTGCGAGTGTGCCGATGAGGACGTTGGACCCCTAAGGGGGGGTGGATTGTTAGATCCCACATCACCCAGTGGAGAGGATCCTGTAAGCCTTATATGTATATTCTCATCTCTACCTAAAACGAGGCCTTTTGGGAGCTCACTGTCTTCGGGTTTCATCGAAACTCCTAAGTTAAGCGAGTTCGCGCGAGAGCAATCCCAAGATGAGTGATCCACTGGAAAGTTCTCGTGTGAGTTTCCAGAAACAAAACCATGAGGGCGTGGTCGGGGTCTAAAGCGGACAATATCGTACTACGTTGGAGTCGAGCCCGGAATGTGATGGGGGCTCGGACCGGGATATGACAATAGACCTCTTTCATTTTGCTCTTACTTTTTTCTTTTTTATACAAGTGATAGTGAGGGAGGGAGGAACCGAACTCCAAATCTCAGGTGCTAAGTAAGAATAATGTTCTAAATTTTCTTATGTTGGCTGGAGTCGGAATTGGGAAATGGCATCATTAATTAACAAAGTCTTGTTTCCATCTATTGACTATTAATCACCGTTTACTCAATTTGCATAACGTATTTTCATCGTATGAATTTTCATGCTCGAGGGTGAATTGTTGTAACCTATTTCAACTTTTGCCCTTCAGTGGCTTTCTAGAGTACCAAAAGAGGTGGTGGACAAAAACAGTCCAGCATGGAACAAAGGACGAATCCATTACTCAAACTCCACTGATGAAGTCGTAAGGGCTCACGAAGCTCAACTTGCTGAGGACATAGAGTGCTTTCTGAATGCCAGGGCACAAGAGATTGCAGACGGAGGAATGATGGTACTCGTCATTCCAGGCAGACCCAATACTCTCCCTCATTCTGAATCTGTGGGAAATGTGAGCTTTCAACTTATAGGGTCTTGCCTCATGGACATGGCTAGGAAGGTGAGCAATGGTATTTCTATTTCTCGCTTTGCGTTCAATTACACAAGAAATTTTGTTTATATGACGTCCATGTGTTTTTCCTTTGCGCAGGGATTAGTAAGTGAAGAGAAAGTAGATACATTTAGCATTCCTGTGTATGCCATGACTCCCCAAGAACTGGAAGCTGCTGTAGAAAGAAATAAACATTTTAGTTTAAAGAAGTTGGAAACAATACCTCACACTCCGGTTCCTCCAACTTTCTCTCCAATCCAACTTGTTGTATCTCACATGAGAGCTGGCTTTGAGGGAATCGTCAAGCAGCAATTCGGAGAAGAAATCTTAGATGAGCTCTTTGACTCGTATCTCAAGAAACTTGAAGAGCAACCTTCCATCATTGAGTCAGGGACTGGAACTGCAATCATCTTTCTTGCCGTGCTGAAGCGCAAGTAAAATGATGCGAACATGATGTCTCAGTACTCATGAAGATGTTGTCAAATTTCATTTGCTTCATTGTTATGTTAGTGTTTTTTTATACGACTAAGTGGAATAAAACCTCTGTACGAGTCTTAGCTCAAGTGGCTTGGGAAGGCGAGATGGAAATGTTGGATTCCCCTTGTAACCTAAAATTCACTGCAGGAGAGAGATACTCTCTAGCCTGCAGAATGTGCTACTATTTTAATCGGTTTGAAAACCTTAATTCACATATAATGCATTGTATCATATTAAGCTAGCCTTCCAATTTGTCTTACACTGCATCATTACAATTGGCTATTAATTTGGCTTTTAATTGTGTTTATACCATACTTCACTAATTCCGAAATTATCCAACACCAATTAACTTTTTACTTTCAGAGGCGCATTAAAAGATTCATGTTGAGGACCCCCTGCCGATGCACAAGAGTTTCTTTCCAACTAGGAGACCAATTACAACGCTACACGTGTTAACATCAGAATAAACCTCCTAAAATCCCACATTGGTCGAGGGCAAAAGCGTCCTCAACTATAAAAAGAAACCATTATTAGAACTTATTAATAATGACTATGCTTGAACCTTTGTACTACATTATTCATGAGACACCTCTACCCTCGTGGACCAACGGGTGGTTTCCTCGCAGCAATCCACCTTTTCGGGAACCGGGAAGACTCACATAGACATTTTAGTCTATCTAGACCACTATCATGTGATTCACCAGCACCCTGAATCAAACCCAGAACGTGCTATGTGAAATATGGGCTTGAAATTTGTTCCCAATCAGTGGGCCACCCCATGGTTGTTCATATCTTGCTAATCCTTGACCTACCAAAGTTTTCTGCATCATTGGTTTGGAAAAAGTAGAGACCTTTTACTTTACCAACAATTAATGTAACATTCCCAAATGTACATATATCTAATAATCCAAGAACTATAGGCAGCTATATAACATAGAAAGCCCCGCGCTGGGCAATCTTTTAGTTTCGACATGGACTAGTTTAGCAGCAGCATTTTGGATACGGGGGTGCATACAGCATCTTTGAATGTAAAAGTCAGACATACGTAGAAGGACTATCAAAGAAGGAATCAAGCGAATAGGAAGGGGGCGAAGGAGTGAGACAAGGGAGAAGGACAAACAAAGACTTTCTCAACAATCAGAAAAAGACCACCAGTTTGTCTTACTTTCCAGTGCTTTCACGTTTCCTAAATTTTAATTGTTTTACTTTGTCTTTTCATAGCGTCAAGTAGTAGAGTAGGGACGGCCGAAATGCAGATATAAGAATAATGACCCCCCATGATACAATACATGACATACACAACAGAGAAACATAGAGAAAGAGAGAGATGGCTACAGTCGAGGAAAAAAGTAAGTTCTCCGAAGAGTATCCAATGAAAGGTGGAGATGGCCCCAACAGCTATGCCAACAACTCAACTTTGCAGGTTTATATGAATTCATTTCAAAGTTTCTTATTTTGTAGTGCTCACTTTTATCGAAGTCCTTGATCTCTTTGTATATGAAATTCAGGACAAACTAAGGCACAGCCGGTAACTCGAACAATGATTTTGTATTTTGTAAATCCTTGCAGAAAGGAACGGTGGATGGTGCCAAAGAACTTTTAAGCAAGGCAGTTGCAGAAAAGCTCGACTTGTTATCTTCTAACACCTTCTACATTGCTGATTTGGGTTGCTCTGTCGGGCCAAACACATTTATCTCAGTTGAGAACATAATCGAAGCTGTGGAATTCAAGTTTCAGAGCCAAGAGCTGAATTCGCAGATCCCTGAATTTCAGGTCTACTTTAACGATCATACTCTGAATGATTTTAACAGGCTCTTCAAATCCCTCCCGCAGACCAGGCGATACTACGCTGCCGGAGTGCCTGGTTCCTTCTATGGTCGTCTATTTCGTAGTACGTCTATTCATTTTTTTCATTCAACTTTTGCCCTTCAGTGGCTTTCTAGAGTACCAAAAGAGGTGGGGGACAAAAATAGTCCAGCATGGAACAAGGGACGAATTCATTACTCAGACTCCCCTGATGAAGTCGTAAGGGCTTACGAAGCTCAACATGCTGAGGACATGGAGTGCTTTCTGAATGCCAGGGCACAAGAGATTGCAGACGGAGGAATGATGGTACTCGTCATTCCAGGCCGGCCCAATACTATTCCTCATTCTGACTCTCTGGGAAATGTGAGCTTTCAACTTATAGGGTCTTGCCTCATGGACATGGCTAGGAAGGTGAGCAATGGCCTTTCTATTTCTCGTTTTGCGTTCAATTACACAAGAAATTTTGTTTACGGCTTCGATGTGTTTTTCCTTTGCGCAGGGAGTAGTCAGTGAAGATAAAGTAGATACATTTAACATTCCTGTGTATTTCATGACTCCCCAAGAACTGGAAGCTGCTGTAGAAAGAAATGAATATTTTAGTTTAAAGAAGTTGGAAACAGTACCTCACACTCCGATTCCTCCCACTGTCTCTCCAATCCAACTCTTTGTATCTCACGCGAGAGCTGCTTTTGAGGAAGTCATCAAGCAGCAATTCGGAGAAGAAATCTTAGACGAGCTCTTTGACTCGTATCTCAAGAAACTTGAAGAGCAACCCTCCATCATTGCGTCGGCGACTGAAACTGCAATCGTCTTTCTAGCCGTGCTTAAGCGCAAGTAAAATGATGCGAACATGATGTCTCAGTACTCATGAAGATGTCAAATTTCATTTGCTCATTGTTATGTTAGTTTTCTTTTTTATACGACTAAGTGGAATAAAACCTCTGTACGAGTCTTAGCTCAAGTGGCTTTGGAAGACGAGATGGAAATGTTGGATTCCGCTTGTAACCGAAAGTTCACTGCAGGATAGAGATACTCTCTAGCCTGCAGAATGTGTTATTATTATAATCTGTTTGAAAACCTTAATTCACATATAATGCATTGTATCATATTAAGCTAGCCTTCCAATTTGTCTTACACTGCATCATTACAATTGTCTATTATTTTTGCATTTAATTGTGTTTGTATCATGCTTCATTAATTCCAAAATTATCCAGCACCAACCAACTTTATACTTTCAGAGGCGCATTGAAAGATTTGTGTTGAGGCCCCCTGCCGAGGCACAAGAATTTCTTTCCAACCAGGAGATCAATCACAACGCTACACGTGTCAACATCAAAATAAACCTCCTAGAGTCCCATATTGGCCGACGACGAAAGCGTCCTCAACTATAAAAGAAGACCATTATTAGAACTTATTAATAATGACTATGCTTGAACCTTTGTAGAATGTAAACTCTACATTATTAATGAGACACCTCTACCCCCGTGGACCAATGGGTGGTTTCGTCGTGGCAATCTACCTTTTCGGGGGCCAGGAAGACTCACAGAGACATTTCAGCTTCTCCTAACCACTATCATGTGATTCACGAGCACCATGAATCAAACTCAAAATATGCTATGTGGAATACGGGCTTGAAACTTGTTTCCAATCAGTGGGCCACCCCATGGTTGTTCATATTTGCTAATCTTTGACCTACCAAAGTTTTCTGCATCATTGGTTTGGAAAAAGTAGAGACCTTTTACTTAACCAACAGTTAATGAAACGTTCCCAAATATACATATATCTTATAATCCAAGAACTATGAGCAACTATATAACATACAAAGCCCCGCGCTTGGCAATCTTTTAGTTTCGACAAGGACAAGTTTAGCAGCAGCATTTTGTATATGGGGAGTGCAGCCAGCATCTTTGAATGTAAAAGTCAGACATATGGAGAAGGACGATCAAAGACGGAAGGAATCAAGCGAATAGGAAGGGGGCGAAGGAGTGAGACAAGGGAGAAGGACAAACAAACTCTTTCTCAACAATCAGTAAAAGACCACCAGTTTGTCGTACATTCCAATGCTTTTCAAGTTTCCTATTTAATTGTTTTACATTTTCTTTTGATAGTGTCAGGTAGTAGAGTAGGAACGACGGAAATGCAGATATAAGAATGATGAACCTCATGATACAACACATGACACACAGCAGAGAAACATAGAGAAAGAGAGAGATGGCTGCAGTCGAGGAAACCAGTAAGTTCTCCGAAGCGTGTCCAATGAAAGGTGGAGATGGCCCCAACAGCTATGCCAACAACTCAACTTTTCAGGTTTATATGAATTCATTTCAAAATTTATTATTTTGTAATGCGCACTTTTATCGAAGTCCTTAATCTCTTTGTATACGAAATTCAGAACAAACTAAGGAACAATCAGTAACTTGAACAATGATTTTGTATTTCGTATATCCTTGTAGAAAGGATATGTGGATGCTGCCAAGGAACTCTTAAGCAAGGCAGTTGCAGAAAAGCTCGACACAGACGTGTTGTTATCTTCTAACACCTTTTTCATTGCTGATTTGGGTTGCTCTGTTGGGCCAAACACATTTACCGCGGTTGAGAACATACTCGAAGCTGTGGAATTCAAGTTTCAGAGCCAAGGGCTGAATTCGCAGATCCCTGAATTTCAAGTCTTCTTTAATGATCATACTCTAAATGATTTCAACAGGCTCTTCAAATCCCTCCCGCAGACCAGGCGATACTATGCTGCGGGCGTGCCTGGTTCTTTCTACAGTCGCCTATTTCCTAATGCTTCTATTCATTTTTTTCATTCAGCTTTTGCCCTTCAGTGGCTTTCTAGAGTACCAAAACAGGTGGTGGACAAAAACAGTTCAGCATGGAACAAAGGACGAGTCCATTACTCAAACTCCACTGATGAAGTCGTAAGGGCTTACGAAGCACAACATGCTGAGGACATGGAGTGCTTTCTGAATGCCAGGGCACAAGAGATCGCAGACGGAGGAATGATGGTTCTCGTCATTCCAGGTCGGCCCAATACTCTTCCTCATTCTGACTCTTTGGTAAACGTGTCCTTTCAACTTATGGGGTCTTGCCTCATGGACATGGCTAGGAAGGTGAGCAATGGTATTTCTATTTCTCACTTTGCTTTCATTTACACAAGAAATTTTGTTTATGGCTTCCATGTGTTTCTTTGCGCAGGGATTAGTAA